ATAATAAATGCAAGATATATTCTCCTGTATCAAACACTTCATGGGTCATGTTATCCTTCATGAAGGAAATTAAAAATATGTGACGTTAAAGCTAAGCTAGCAGATGATATCAAGGAATGTGGCCAGGTCAGCATTTCAACTGCTCATCAGCACACTCATCCATTCTCTGCATTCTCCATCCCGCCACTCATGGAAGTAAGCAAAAATTCATCCCACAAGTCTGTGCTTTCTCAATACAGTTTCTAACAAGTAGAAAGATTAATAGACAGTCATCATATTTAAACCACACTTAATGATACATATTTCATCTTTTAAAAAAAAGAGGAAGGGAAAAGGAATCCTTTTTTATGTACTGTCTTTCAAGTTGGGTTTACCATATAAAGTATCTTGTAACTTTTCCCATGTCAGAACATATAAATCTATCTCATTCTTTAACAGGTACACAGAATTTCATTGAACACACATCATAAAATTTATTTATATAAATTCCTACAGAACACTGCCACTGCTTCCAAATTTTCATTATTATCAGTAATGTTATAAATGAATATCCTAGTGTACAAATCTTTATAAGCTTTTAAGATGAGAAACTTCTATAAATTAAATAAGTTGCTGGGTCAAATATTTACATGCAAAATTCTGGCAGTTATCTTTAAACTTCCCCTGAATCATTTCTATAATTTCCAACCCCCAAAACTATAACAGAACCAGTTTTCTCATAATCTCCACAAACAGTGCACATTTCTTTTTAGTCTCTGCTAACCTGCCTCCCAAGCCATTCTCCCAAAGACAGTTCATAATTCATTTATTTGCCTTTCTTTATTTTACTATTAGAAATGTTGAACGCCTTTTTCTATCTTATTGGGTGCTTAATTTTCTTTTGTTATTCCCCTGCCTTCATCCTTTGTCCATTTTTCTAGTTTTTAAGGGTTACTTATTAGGGAAATTAGCCATTTTTCTTTCATATATCTTGAAATTACTACTATGTTTCTGTTCTATTAAGAATTTCCTGACTTGTACGCAGCTACAGTTATCAATGTTTTAATGACTCTAGTTTTTGTCTTGTTTTCTGACAGGAATACGCCAGTGAACCTGTACCACATACCACAACTTTCATAACACAAAATTGACTGTTAAATTGACTGTTGTTTCCTAAAGTCATCCACACTTTTGCAACTAATTTTTTTCCCATGAAAAAAAATACTCCCTTAAATGACTTTGAAACAGTCTCCTTGTAATAGAGGCTGATGGGAACTAGAAGAGGGATGGTTGGTCACACAGAGGGGTGGTACAAGAGACCAGGATTCAGAGGGAACCTTCCTGAAGTCATGCCTGTCTGGGCTGAGACTTGGGGATGAGTTAGAGTTGGTGCTGTTAAGGGAAGGAAGGCATTACAGGCAGAGGAAATTCTGCTCTTTCACAGGTAAAAAAAGAATTTGTCCTGCACCGAAGCATTTCAACACACAAAGTGGGAAAACAGAGATAGGTGTGTGTTGCTAATGAGTTGTCAGTGAACTTCACCACTCTGCACTGTTCCTTGGCCACTGCCAGTCATGGGTGATGACACAGACCTATCCACAGGTCAGGCCATTCACATAAATATGTCTCATAATACCAGAAAAACAGCACCAGGGCATGTTAGGGGTCTACATTAATTCTGCACTAGGTGATAATTAACATAATACCTACAACTTACTGAGCACTTACTATCTTCCAAGCACAGTACCTTTCATAAAATAACTAATCCCTCCACCCACCTGCCCAGTCCGTTCCCTCATCCTAGGGGTATATGATTGTGCCTAGGGTTATGGCAATATAGAAGTCTGAAATGTATTATGAAAAAAGAAAAAATACATAATCTTTCAAATAAGTAACTGAGGGTCTTAAAAAATATTCAAACCCTTTGAACCAGTTATTGCAGTTCAAGGAATCTATCCTAAGGAAATAGACTAGAAATGAGAAGATAGATTTGTTTGAAGGTGCCAATCACAAAATCACTCATAATAGCAAAAGCTGGAAACAACCTAAATGCCTAATAGGAGAATGATTGATTAAATGACAGTATATCGCCACGAAGGATGTTAAAATGTTTTTATAGACAAAGATATGAGTACATGTTTATGAGATTTGGGTTTTTCAAAAAGCAGAATAAACTATATACACATATGGTACGATTCCAAATGAAAAAGATATCAACAAGCACATATACACGAACAGAGACAAGGCTGGGAGGAAACAGAACAAAATATTAACAGAACTACAAAAATACAGGTAAAATATGTTTCCTTATGTATTCCTGTACAATATTCTACAGTAATCCAGCTATACTTTTATAACCAGAAAAAAAGAGAGACCATTCAATCAATTCAAATTTCTCATGCTCCCCTTTGAGGATCACATCCACTATAAAAATGTGTACCTAATCCCCTTAAAGTATCTAAAGTTCTTGAGACAGATTACATTCTTTGGGTTCCTGAAATCGATGGGAGAGAAATGAGTACAACAGTTTTTAGGTCAGTGGTAGGGAACTTTGCCCATATCTGATCTGGGCCCAGGTTGAGGTGGAAGAGTTAATGACTACATCTGGCTCTAGAAATAAGGCAGTGAGGCTTTTCAGGTAAGAGAAAGCACAGATGTGCCTGGGGAAGGAGAGCATAGCAATCTCCTTTATTCAGGTAAAGATGGTTAAAGAATAAAATATTTCTTGAATTAGGATACTAACACAGTAAGAATTACTAGCCATCGAATTTTTCTTCCTTAAATTCTGTAGGCATATAAGGGTATGTTTATGGATAAAAGCAAGATGGAACAGTCCTTATCAGGATGGTTCTTTTATCTTACATTAGAATATTTAAGATATGAGAAAATGTAGTAAAAACATTTTCCACTGGCAGGAATGAAGGTTGTTATTAACAGAAAATAGAAACAAAGTATTGTTTAGTTTCTTCACTTGTAAAATGGGAATAATGCTTATACTACTTGGTCACCAGGATTAAATAAAATAAACATGAAAGCATCAGGTACAGGCCCTTAGTACATAATATACTCTAGTTTCCCTTTTCTTCATTGCAAATGAGTGACTTAACACTTAATCTTACTAATACATTAAACTTAACTATATATATAAAAATACAGTTTAGATCTGTAAGTGGATTTAAGAATTAGCATAACCCAGAAGAGTGGGTAAGGTACAACTCCTGTTCCCTCATTTTCAAAACAGGTTAATAATGCATGGGTTTATGGCAGGGAATAAATGAGATAATAAATGTGAAAGCCTTTTATAAATCTAAAGGTTATAATGATGAGAGTTGCCAGAGATACTGACTGAGAATGAAAGTTTTATTTTCTTAGCAGATCCACATGTGTTGGTGTAAATACAATTAACAAGCTGCATAGGATGGGAGCTGAAACCCTTCCTGAAGGACACAACCCAGTAGCAGAAAGGTTGGTAAACCCTTGTTCAAAGATGGGGAGTCCAGCTACATGTACAGCTTTTGTTCTGCTGAGTGGTGTACTCAAATGTGGGTCCAGAAGTGAATTCTCAAGAAAACAGAGTTTTATAGGCTACAGTTACCAAAAACCAAAAAGATACTAGAGAGAAAACAGAAATAACTGAAGGGTACTTTTTTGGACGTTGGCTGTGTCTTCCCCTTGAAATAT